TGTACAAAGTTACTATCCCCCGTGTGCTGTCTCCGCATACTCCCTCAGCAACCTGATAGAAATTCTGATGGATAAATTCAATGGTGCTTCCACTACCTAAAAGTTGGGAGACAAGTCCCCTAACCAGTCCTTCCTGTAATTACATCCCTCATTATTGGATGGTCCAAATTGGATATTTAAGAGCATTTAAATGGGTATCTGGGTGTTTCCATTGGAAGATAAAGAATAGGTCAACACGCACGCTTTCTGAGATGCAGGCAGATGCTTAGTTATTCACAGGACTTATTTTATAAACCCCTTTTTGCAGGTATTGTGCAGGCACGATGCCCTGGGGAAACCCCAGTGATCACAGAGACTTTGAACCTCAGCGCCATGATGATGGTTACATTGAGGTCATTGGATTTACAATGGCCTCTCTGGTGAGTATTTCTGCAGAATTTAGGGGACTTAGATAACTCTGTGAGCAAGATTAGGATGTGCAAAGCTGCATATAAAAATGTCCTTGCTGTTAGTAAGAAATCCATGTTTCCCCAGAGTGTGATTTAATCATGGGAAAAACATTTCCTTTTTTTTTTTTTGCAAACAGGTACCTACAGAATAAAAACTAGTTATTTTGAATGTATCTGATGGCATTTCAAAATCCTCCCAAATCAGAATGATCAAAGTATTTTGTTATTGTAGAGGGGTTGTGTTGTTTAGTCAGTGCCCACACAGGGTGCTTCAAAAAAATGTATGAACATTTTAGTTGTCAGGAATACAGAGACATATTGATTGATAGTGCTGATCCTTGTTTCCTTAGAAGGCAAGAAGCATAACTTGCAATGTGTACTACTCTAGGTGTTCAAAATGCTCACTACTGACACCCAGGCACTCATTATAGTGGCAAACAATAAAACGAAACACATGAGTATATATACTTTTTTGACACGTTGTATATTAGAAAACATATCTAAATCATACTTTTTATTATTTATCTTGTATTCTCATGACTCATTCTTTGCTCTACAAGTCTGTTGTGCTTTCAGAAGCCATGCATAAAGCCAGTGAAGCTGGCTTATTTTGTGTTGCATTTATGTATAAAAAATCTATATATGTTTAGTACATTAATGCATAACATTATACTAATTAATTATTAAGTATCAGACTTGTATACACACAAGGGTTGTGAACTGCAGAGCAGCAACGCTAATTCTGTGTGATTATTTGTGTATATGCACTACCGTTTAAAACTCTGAACACTATAAGGTAGTGTTAGAGAAATAATACCACAGAGTGTAATGTAATGGAAAATAATTGCCCACTATTATGACAGCTAGGTCTAAGATAGGGGCATATTCCAATTCCAATTCCTCCCTGACAATTATTGCCAGGTAGCATGGAAAATAAATGGGAATAATACTTTTTATCTACCCAATCCAAGATGGTGAGAGAACCAGAATTTTTTAAGTTTTGAGAAAAAAGTACTACTGTAATCATTGCTTTTCTTTTGTTCTCTCTAGAAACAGGAAATTCACTTGTTAAATCAGTGTAATTTTCTAGGACAATCTCAGTCCAAATGGTTTAACATCCAAATATCATTGTGCGCAAGCATGTTCTCTAGCTCCTTAGGGTATATTTACAGAGCAAATGAAACTGATTTGTAGCATGGATTGGTATTCCCAGCTTAGTTTTAATCTAGCTAGTCGTGAAGATGCAGTAGCATGGGCTAGCAATATAGGATGCATCCAGAGTTTTCAATGGGTTTGTACAGTCTGCACTTGCAGTCCATGCCATAGTTTTCACCAGTACTGTTAATTTTAATCTAGCTTGCATGAATAACATGAGGGAATGGCTATCCCCACTCCACTTACACATTCATTTCTTGCGTAGATATGCCCCCAGTTCCATGACAAAGTGCCTTTCAGTGATAGTACATAATCAGACAACTACTTTCTCAAAATTATACTCAAATAAATCTTACTTCTAAAATAAGCGAGGCTGATTTTACTGAGGTCTCTGTCACACATTGCATATATTACATAATTAACTGGTGAATCGTGCAATAAATTTGGTTTGGCTACATGTACAAAATAAGCCCAGCCACATGTACAAAGTAATTATCATGCAATTAACTGGTTAATCATGCAGTAAATTTAGACCAGCCACGTGTGCAAAGTAATTATCATGCCATAAAAATGTCTGTCCAACTGTCAAAAGAGCCAACCAACTACAAAGTTAGTGCTTGAAAATATGTAACAAGTATATAGCTGTTTTTTATCCAGCTTTAATTTGAAAGTTTGGCAGGGTGCTGATAGACATACGTGATGGTCCTGATTGGGGATCCTTGTATAGCCTTTGTATACTGGTGGAATCAGCATATGGAGGCTGTAAGGCTAGTGTGAAATGATGTTTTGGAGAATAGGTCTGACATGAATTTCTCTAGTGCAATGGGTGTGATAGAATAGGCCTTCAGCATTCCTCCCTCAGGGCTTTTGGTGAAATGTGTGCTGGTGTATGGCCATGAGGAGGAAGGAGGAAGTGGGGTTCAAATACACAAAGCTATAATATTTAAAATATAACATACAGCAGCATAAGGATGCATCTGGGCTTCTGAGATATAGGGGCAGCAGTGGCTTCTGGTTGCTGCACAGTCATGATCACTATTGCAATCATGAGGTTGCAGGTAGCAGCCACTTTCTCGCCCCTGCCCTCCCTACCCTAATCCCAAGTCGGCACTGGGGCAAGGTGTCCCATTCACCCTGCCCTAGTTACACCACTGGTAATATACCATATAGAGGTACTACAGGCAGCTATAAAATGAAGTACCCCAGAGATTATCTTTACTGTCCAAAGGATTGCAGTGGTGCTGCCCAGCTGCCTTTGCCATTCTCTCTTGAGGCATTTCAGCTCAAGTCACAGTTCAGAATCAGGGCCCTAAATACGGTATTTTCTCACATACAGTAATAAAAATGTCTGCCTCTGCCAGGGAAAGTGAAAATAACACTGTAGTGCTGGACTGAGGCTCCCTAGCTTCTGGCTTGCATATTTTCTCTTTTCTCCACTGCTGTAGAAGCTGCTATTCAGTTATTTACTGCTACTTACTAGTATTTTCAAGGAAAGATCTTTTTTTTCCTTCATCCTGCCTTACCAGAAAATAAATGTTTATCTTATTCAAGAAAATATGGTCCATTATTACATCCTAAAGGCAGCTGAAGTCAGAGTTAAGGTTGTACCTTTAATTGTGATTTTGAAGAGCCAGTTTAGCCACAGACTTATACTGGGAGCCAGCTTGATGAGCCATGATATACTTTTTTTGTCTGCTTGCCCTATTTGTAAAGTGCTTTGAAAGAAAAATCTTTATAAATGTATATAAATGTTAAGAAATATGGTGTTTATAATTTTAAAATCCATGGCATAAATGCACTTTACTTAATGGAACAGAATTAAGCTTCCCAGAAAAAAACAATTGCGAATGGCCTTCCTGACATCTGCTTATGTAACTCTTATAGTTAATGTTACATCGATATAGATATTTGCATCTTTAAGAGGTACAAGATATTTTTACAAGAAAGTGGTCACATTTTTAACATTTTTTTATTTAAAATCATTATATCTTTATTAAAAAAAAACAGCTTTGAGGGGCCTGTAGAAATCATGAATAAATTCTCAGTGACACTTTCTGTCTCGTGTACAGATATCCCTTTCATCTTCACTGGTTCTTTACCTCCGGTGTGAGGTGTAACGGTTGGTTTGTGCACAAGGGTAGGAGTAAGAAGATGGGTTCGGGAATCTGGCTTTATTTGTTTTTTAAAGTAAGAAAAGTACTAAATTGGGAAAACTTAGTCTAGAACAGGGGTGGGCAAAATACAGCCCGCAGGCCAGATGTGGCCTGCCAACTGGCTGGATCTGGCCCACAGCTGCCCCTGCGGTGCTCCACGTGGGGATAAGCCCCACCTGCTCCCAGTAGGGCAGCCTGCACTGCACTTCCACCGGCCCTGGCCCTGGCCAGTGCGCAGCTTCTGGCGGGAGTGTTCCCAGTGTGGCTGCAGCTGGCTGGATGCTCTTCTGCTCCCCTCACCTCCAGGGGGAACAGCTAGGCTGAAGCTTTCCCCACTGCCTTCGGTGCAGCAGGTGCGGGAGTGGGAAGAGGAGCAGCCGCTGGAGGCAAGGGGAGCCCAACAGTACCTGGCCAGCTGCAGCTGCATTGGGAAGAGCCCCACCAGAAGCTGTGTGCTGGCCAGGGCTGGGGCCGGCAGGGCTGTTCTGCTTGCCTTGCCTCTAGCTGTGGCTGCTGCTCCTGCTACTGCCAAGCCACTCTGGGCGGGCAACCAGACGGCTCCTGCCCAGCATGCGGAGCTCCGGCTCTAGCTCGCAGCTGCCTTCCACCCACTCTGCCTGCCCAGAGGTGGCTGCTCATTGCACCGGGTGGGCAGAGTGGGTGCAGCTTCTGGTGGGGCTGTTCCCAGTGTGGCTGCAGGCGCTGTGCTGCTGTGCTGCCCTTGCCTCTTGGTGACAATGTGAGCCTGGCTGGCTGCAGCCACACTGGGAACAGCCCTGCCAGAAACTGTGTGCTTGGCTGAGGTCAGTGGGTGTGGGTGGGAGCATGGCAGTGGTTACCCTGGGCAGGGACAGCAGCTGCCAACCAGGCAAGCTCTGCTGCATGTGCCCCCCACGTTCGCCTCCCTCCCCTCCCTCCCAGCTGGCTTCTGGGCAGCCCCTCCCAGTAAGGCATGCAGGGAGCAGATCATACCAGTCCTGCTCCCGAACACTGCTCCCCACCCACCCAAAGCCCATAGTGAGTTTTGGTGAGTTGCTGCGAGAAGTGGGTGGGGGGGAGGCAGGGTGCTGACCCAGCCTGTGACAGCTCATCAAAACACCCTATGTGGCCCTTAGGCCCAAATAATTGCCCACCCTTGGTCTCGAATTTGATTTAGATGAAAACCAATTGCCTTAAATAACATGTAGTGTTTCTGTTGTTTCAGTTGATTTAAGGACAGATTTTTGGTTCAATGATATCTCCAAGGGGCACAGTTAATACAGAACAGTGTAATTCTTCTGCTGTCATGTCCTCTTCCCTTGTTTCATTTTTTCAGAACAGTTCTTGAACCTGGTATTAATTGCTTTCCGGCATCAATTACTGAACAGGGTTGTTCTGTTTGCTCTTTTCAACATGTCTAGTCCAGTTCCAGAGTTGTTATGTAAACTGTCAGGATAGGTATTTCAAATTTGTGTAATTCATATTAAAGACAATAGTGCTTTGATTAAAGAGAGGATCACCCCCCTACAATTAGTGGTTCTTCTAAAAATCAAATGGAGCTCTGGTCCTCAACTGTTACGTCTAGGCATTTCTGCAATATAAGTGGGAATAATCATTTTAAAAATATGTAGAAAAATACAAAAATACATATAGATAGTCTCCTTCTGTCTGCAATTACACGGGTGTCTCTATAATGTATATAAGGTGTGTGGCGGTTAATATCTTCATGATAAATTTCAGGCCCATTTGACCATTTGATTCACAAATTTATCATGTACCTTTAATTGCTTCATCTGCCTTCTGCCCACTGACTGACTTTCTGTGACTTAATTGTAGCATGTCAAGCCCCATTTTGTCCATTTTCTTTGAATGCAACTACTGGACCACCCTCCAGAGCTTCTTTGGATAATACCTTCACACATCATGTACACCCATATCTCTTACTTGTAATCCCACTCTGCTGAATCAGGTGGGGACAAATATGAAGTAGGCCTGAAATATAACTTTGTAATGGCTATGGCCCTAAACAGTTTGTGTGTGGTGGGGGTTGCATTCTGTCTTCCAAATTAATGGAAGTTATTTCTTTCAGACTGTAGTCAGGTGAGTGTAAGTCTCCATACAATAGAACAGGCTGTATCACAATGGTTCTCAGGTGCAAATAGGATAGTGCAGGGGTTGGCAGCCTATGTCCCACAGAGACTCTGGCTGTGGCTTCAGTGCTGTGACTTTGGTGGCATTCAGCAGCAGGGGACTCTGCCTGTGCCATGTTGCACTTAGTCTCCCAGGGCTTTGGCAGAGGGAGAACTTTCTATGCACTGTACTGCAGCCTGGCACATGGGGTTCTCTGCTCCATGCCAGAGCTGGGTAGAGAGAAGCAGGTGAGGTGGCCTGGTCCTAGTGCCCACCCAACTCAGACCCAAAATGAGTCATGCCAGCCCTGTGCTGGCAAACATTGCTGATCTCTGGGGTACAGAATATATAGTGTTGGGTATAATTATGGATTTGGGAATTGCTAGCCATCTCAACTGGCTGCTCTAAATCAATACGCTAAAATTTTCTTTCTTTTTTCCCTTGCTTTTGTTCTGTAGGCTGCTCTTCAGGTGGGTGGTCATGGAGAAAGGTTGCATCAGTGCCGGGAGGTGACACTGCTAACATACAAGTCTATCCCCATGCAAGTGGATGGGGAGCCATGTCGATTGGCTCCCTCTCTCATTCGGATCTCCCTGCGGAACCAGGCCAACATGGTGCAGAAGAGCAAGAGGAGGACATCCATGCCTTTACTCAATGAGTGAGTTGGGCATGTGCATGTCCTAACATAAAGAGGCTCTGACAGGGCAGAAAATACAAATAGAAAGTCTGCATGGATAGCATTAGCAGAGGTTTTGGAGAAAGAGGTCCAGAAACCCAAGACTGTTCCACTTCTCCACCTTTATAAGTATTTACCAGATATCTCTTGTGCTTTAAGTTGCAGAGTTTCCTTTGCTTTGCTTTTGGACAGATGTGTTGTGCCTTTTTTTTTCTATTTAGTGAGGTCTGAGTGCACTCAGCAGTGTGACTCATACTAACGCTCATAGAAGCACTGCTATATTTGCAACCCCCACCTTCTACTTCTCCATTATCTGATTTTTTTAATATAACGTAACTTTTCAATTCCCCATTGAGACCCTTCACTGATTTGCCAGTCCATTATCTGATAAATAAGTTACAGGTTTGCTGAGGATACAGACTTAGACCTAGACATACTGAAAGATAGAGATCCCAGCTATGCTCCAGATGCTGACAAAGCTATCACCCTGTGAGCAACAACTTCCATTTTGGTCCAACTGCTGTGTCAATTAAAATGCAGGCAAACAACTAAAAAAGTTCAATTGTGAGCCATTGTTTCCAACCAGAAGGGAAGTTGTTGCAGTGAAAAGAAATCACCCCAGGTATTTAAGGTAGTGATTAGCCTGATCAAACCTGTACACAAGATCTGAATTTAAACTGTGGTTTCAGGGAACAGAGTGGCTTTTGTCATAGTAATGCTGTACAGTATTAAGACCATCTAAGGGCTGGAGAATTGAATTGAATTGGAGTCTATGGTGTCAAATAGCACTTGGCTCAGAGCTTGAATTCTTCAGGTGCCTTTGGCTTGGCTGAGAGATTCATCCATGAAGTCTTGATTCTTTTGTACTGGTGGTCCGTCAAGGACTTTAATCCCAGTCCTGAATCTCTGCAAGAGTGTGTGTGTGTGTGTGTGTTTAAAAGTGAAGGGAAAGATGGAATGTCACTTGGGTTTCTGGGTATAATAGCTATATAGTTAAACTAGTATGAAGAGGCATGACTGCATTTAAGGCTTGTCTATTATGAGATTTTTTTGCAACATACTAGCACTGACAGCAAGTTTTTTTCTATATCCTTACATACATTTCTTAACCTGATATCTATGCTATATAAAGACATCTCACCAGAATTTCTCAGGAAGCTCCACAACTGATAAATTGAGATGGCTTTTTCTCCCTTAGAACTATGAGACATCCACCCTGTAAACTATAGATGTGAGATTACTGTATGAATCTGGTACTGTCTTCCTGCAGTTATTGGAGATATGGTTTTAAGCTTTCTGCAGATGTAGTGAAGAAATAATCTCACATAGATTATTTCTGAATTGCTTCATAGTAATTTTATTTTGTTACTGGGTGATGAGGAGAAAGCCCCTGATCTGGTGGCATCAGTAAAAAGATTTAATTTAATTAAAAAAAAGAAGTCTTTTTAATGCATTTCTGTCTTCTCATGGTGTATAATTTTGGAGTTCTAGTTTTTGCAGTATTTCAGGAGTTTTCTGGTATAGTAAATATATCATCTCCCTGGCTGGTGACCTTTTAAAGCAGTGGAAAGGAACATATCTGTGCAGTTCTAAGGAAATATATCTGTTATGATAGAACACGTACCCTGATGAAGCCAGAACCCAGAAAAAAACAGCCACTAGAGATGGTGAAAATATGTATTTTTATGAAACATTTTTATTTCTTTTTAGAAATAAAAAGTTCTGGAAACTGATGTTTTGGGTCTTTCACAATATTTTAAACAAAAAGTAAAAAAATTGCCAGGACAGAGGATAGTTTTAAAAATATTTTTGCTTAGTTGAAAACCCAATTTTTCTTTGAAAAACAGTTTAGATGGAAAACTTTTGATTAGCCCCAACTGGGAGGCCCTTTCAGGTATATCCTTTATTGCAAAGTACATTTGCTAGAGAAATTGTCTAATTATTGTTCTAAATTATTCTAAAACACTAAACAGGAATGCAGACTAGCTATTACAGATCAGTTGTACATTAACCTCCTCTGTGCACTAAATTAAAATATGCCGCATGTTCTAAAGGAGGGGAGTCTGTGTTTCTATTTTTTTTAGCTGTGCACGCTGGTGGGAGTGAGGACTACTAAAATTCCTCAAGCTTGCCATCTAATTTTCAGAGCTGCCCATCTTCCTGATTGAAAACATTTCCCTTTAAAACCTCTAAAAATGGCCTGCAGGACATATCTGGCCTGCCAGTTGATCACCGTCGGGAGTCTGAGTGGAGAGAGCTGCATCCCACTCCACTCTGCTGCAGCTGGGGCCGGGCCAGGCCACACAGTGCACAGACTCCTTCACCCCCTCATCCATCCCCTCCTGCCCAACTTCCTTTTGGACCTGCAGCTGTGCCATCCTGGCATTGTGGCTGGCGGCAGCCAGGCCTGTACAGGATGGGTGTAATGCAATGCGCCCAGTAGCTGTCCTGCTAGTCCACTGTCCTTCTCTCAATGATGAACCTCTGCCACTGCAACACTGCTAGTTCTTGCTGGCCATGGTGGGGCAGGGGAGTGGAGAGGTTGGTTCTCGGCCTGGGGAAGTCACTTCTGACTTTCCTGGTGTGGCATGGTGGCGGCAGCAGCTCATCATAGCAGGCAGGTTGGCGGGTAGGACAGCTGCTCAGTGCACTGCATTGCACCATGTCCCATGTGGTCCTAGTGGCCAGTGTCCACAGTGCCAGGACTGCACTGCTACAGCACAGGAAGCTGGGTTGTGGGGAAAGATGCAGCAGGGGTTGTGGGGAGGCAGGGTGGAGGAGTTTGCACGCTGTGTGGCCCAGCCGCCCTGGCTCCACCTGCAGCGGAGCAGAGTGGCGCAGGGCACAGCCCTCCCTCCTGGCAGTGGCCAGTGGGTCAGCTGGATCAAATGGCATCTTCCCAGTGCCCCCTGGCCCACAACTGCTCACCAGAGCTCCTTAAATGGCCCTCCAGTCCAAATAATGGCCCACCTCTGCTCTAAACAGTTCTCCTAAATTACTTTAATATGGGGAGAGCGATTCTTTTCCCCCTCCTAAATCCCTGGAGCTGACTACATTTCAATTCCTCAAGGTTAAGAAGGATTGGATGAGAGACAAAAGTATGCTAATACATGAGTATATTGTTGAACCTATTGTTTTAAAATATTTTTTTTCATTTACTCGTAGTATCTTAGAGGCTAGAAAGAAGAAGGCTGTTTTTAGAGCCTGTCACATCAGGGATCCAGTGAAAACTTTAGCTTAGTGGATGTCTGTTGTATGTATATGGATGCCAGGTGTGGTAAATATTAGAACTGGTCAGGAATTTTGCCTCAAGATGGGTTTTGGACAGAAAGTAGGTTTTTATTTTATTTTTTAAAATTAAAATGTAATATTAAAATGTTATTTGAAAATGAATTTAACATTCATAGTTTGCAAACACTGCACTTGCATATTAAAAATAAACTGTAATTAAAAGTTAATTTTTCTGTCCACATTGGAATATTTCATTTTATTGAAAAAGAAACCTTGCATGTTGATGCAATCAGTTTATAAAAAAAAATGTAATTGAATTTATCTAGGCCTTTGTATTCTTTGATCTGTAGTTTGGGCTCCATTTTTTCATCTGAACTGGGCTCCCTGGTTGATTGTCTCTCAATGCAGCATGGGCTGGCTCATTTGGTCTAGCTTACCAAGCCCACTTATCTCCTGGCATAAAATTGGAGTTGTCTTAAATGACAGTGGATATTAAGAGTCCTATAACTCTGTTGTTGCTTTCCTCGATTTTTTCATGTTGAGTGGATGATGAGTCTTAGGCTTCCAAGCTCAGCTTCTCTACAGATTTTTAAAAATGGAATAGCCCTCAGTCCCTTTCTCTGTTTTATAGCTCATACACCTTTCTCTGTTTTATAGCTCATGTTACCTAAAATTTCAGAATCACCAAAGCAATTTAGGAGCCTATTCAGTGACTGCCAGCGAGACTCAGGATCCTAAGTTATTCAGCTGCTTTTTAAAAATATTACCATTAGATTAGGTAAATGAATGATGCTTCTAAACTGTGTTCATTGTCATAATATTTAAAGAAATAAATACTGCCCCCTTGTTTCTGCTGTGCCCATAGTCAAGCTTGGCAATTCAGTAGTGCAGACAGCTCCGAGAAATCCTGTGCACATCCTAGGGCTGCTCTCAGGCTCTCTGTCTTGGTAGAGCTTGAGACTAGCACTGAGGTGCATTCTCAGAACCACTTTAAGCCTAATTGCCAGCCTTGGGCATGGAAAGAGTACGGCTCATAACCTCAGTGGTGGCAGTCCTGGACTCAGCAGGGAGGCAATGTAGACGTGGCCTAAGGGCATCCTTCTTTCCTCGGTTGTTATAGCCATCTCATCCCAAGACAGGGAAAGTAGACAATGTTGAATAGTTTTGGACTTTTTTGAGAGTAAATTGTATTAAATCCTTAAGAGGAGGGTAAAGGAGGAATATGACCTGAGGGAAATCTAAATCTGGGATTCAAAACTACCAGTACTACTGCAACACTTAAAGGAGAACCCTTTCCTCTTCGATGGCACAAACAGCTGCATCCAGGCCTGTAGCTGTTAGAGGATAAGACTGTGTCACATATGTTGCATTTTACCTGAGCTGGATAAAATCATTTATTCAGTGACTTCCAACCCCCTCAGTTTGTGAATTGTTAGTGGACAGATTGTGATTTTTCTCAAATGTATTTTTATGAAATTATTCCTGGTATAATTTCTGTAAATAATCCTTGGGCTGTTCATTGTTCATCAGTAGTTAGTTGATGAATACTTCCCACTGAAATCTGAGCTGTTTTGATTAGGCACATATGTTATGTTTCAATTCTCTGAGAAACAGGTTTATAGTTTGAATGCTTTCGGTTATTTGAAGTATTCTTTTTTTAAATATTCTACAGTAGTTCTTAAAAATTGCTGCTTCTGAAAAGATTCCTGTCAATTAATCTCTTTGTTATAAACATGGCAAGACAAAAAGGA